AAAAAAAAAAAAAAAAAAGGACAAGTGCCTTCAGAGTGCTATTTGTTGTTGATACTTCTAGGATTTCAGTGCCTCTAATTAGCGGCAGAGATCCTCCCATGGTCAACAGCAGAAGGCAGGGAGGAAACATGACTGGGCTCCGTGTAACTCTGTCATTTGGGTGCAGGATAAGTGTGTCTGTGTGTGTGTGTCCGTGTGAGCGATCATGTCTCCAAAGCAGTACCTGCAGGGATCACCGGGAAAGTGCTAAAGGCTTGCGGGCAGGTAGAGATGCCAGGGAGAAATAACAAGATCCGAATTTATTGCCTGGTGGCGTGCACAAGATGGGAAAGACTAATTCAATGCCATAGCGTGCTCCCCCCTTGTTCTCCCTCCACCCTCCCCCTCCCCACCCTACTGCCTCCTCCCTCGGCCGCCAGATTGCTGGCTGATGTCTGGAAAGGAGTAGTGAGAAAGCCCTTCAAGCATGGGATCCAAAATCCACCCTTCCTCCAGCTCCTCTTTTCTCCCACCAGTTCGAAGTCCCCATGCCTACTTCCAGCTCAGCGTCCCTCTCCCGGGGACTCCAGCAGGTTTTCCCATTCCCGCTGACTTGCCCCTCTGCCACTCCCCCCATCTCCTCCTGCCCTGGACCTTTCCATGAGACTGGGGTGATTAACCAAATCCAAATCCCAGACATTTCCCCTGAATTACCCGCCTCTGGCGCTGCTGCTGCCGGGATCCACCTGCACCAGGCTGCTCAGGAAAGTTTCCGTGCAGTCATACTCCCCTTCCCTCCCTAGGTAAGGAGTGCGTTTCAAAACCTCTGCCTGGTTTTCAGTCTTTCCACTCCCCACCCCCTAAAACCTTAGTAAATAAAGAAAAAACCCCGAAACTAACCAGCAAGTCCTGAGGGATTTATGTTATAGTGGGAATAGCTCAGCCAGTGAGCATCGCCTTGCCGTGCTGCTTAAATGTTACCGCTCTGCAGAAGAGATTTATGTGCCCATCAGCAGAATATTTCCCGGGTTTAAGAGCACTCGATTTTCCCTCTGCTGACGGGGATGGGAGACGGTAAGACACAGGATGAGGGCAGTGGAGTTGTTTAGCTCACAGGCACTATGACGGAAGGCAGTAAAACGGTGTCTGGGCAGCAAAAGTGACACAGGTTGGAGCGGGTGGCATTTCTATGCTCAGCGGAAGGCGAGGGGATGCACATCAACCCCTTTGCATACAGCCCCAAATAAATCAATGCGAGTAACGTGGGCTTAATGGGCGATTGCAACAAGAGTCAGGCGTGATAAATAGAGAAGATTCCCACTACCCCTGATTTCCAGCATTCTGCATCCCCAGCCCAGGGATGCCTCCTTCTCGCACGGGGCTGGATGACTCAGAAAAAGCAGAGGAATAATGGGCAGCGGCCGGGCAGCTTTTGCTCTGCCATAGTTGGTTCCTCAGCTTTTTGTACAATACATTGGCGGTGTGAAAATACCTCCCGAGCCCCGCGGCCCATTCCTGAGAGAATGCTTCCAAACATCTCTCTTCCCTGTATTTAGATGTCCAGGCTCCCTGCTTGCCCGTGTCTGGCTTCACTGCCAAGGATTACTTCCATCTCCCCTGAAGCTGCGTAGATTTGGGACTCCCTTTTGGCCGGGAGTTAATTTCCCAACTTCCCATGCTGCCGGTGGCAGACGGACATCCAGGGAGGTGGCTCTGGCAGAGGGGACACCTTTAAGGATGCGTGTCAGCGTTCAGCCTGCCTTCTCAGCTCCCCGGGCTTAATCTGCCCCGCTCCTCTGGGTGTCCTCGGGGCAGGTCCCGGGGGCAGGGCCGGTGACAAGGCGGGGGTCAGGGGGAACAAGCCACCCTCCCCGGCAGCAGGAGGGGCCGCCCCGGCTCCGGGCGGAGCGAGCATCCGCAGCCGGGCGGCAGCGCCTGTCCCGGCCGCGGGACCCCCGGCTCGCCCCTCCCCAGCCTCCCCCCATCCTCGTTTGGTGGGAGAAAGAGAAAACATCCCCCTGCAGGGAGAGGTGCGTGCCCCGCAGCCGCCAGCCCGGGCGGGCTCGGCGGGGCTGGCCGCAGAGGGAGCGGAGGCTTCACCGCAAAGGGTTAAGGCAGGGCTGCAGGGTGCTCCGGGCAGGAGTCCTGTGAGCGCTCCGAGGTGCGCCAGCCAATCCTGGAGACGGCGGCGTGAACTAGATGTAGCGTGCTGCGAGAAGGGAGGTGAAGAAAATAGGGTGTAAACTGTCACCGCGCATCGCCGGGCGGACCTGCTCCTCGGGCTGCGATCTCTTAGGGACTTAGAGACCACCATGCATTTAAAAAGGTAAGGGCTTTGTTACCAGCAGTCTGTATTTTTGATTCACTGCCGGATTCAAGTGCATTAGCCGCGTAGTTTTCCTTCAGTGATAAATTGTGCAGCACAGAGTGGGAAGAAAGTGGAATGTGGCATGATTTACTGCTCGGGAGCCGTTTTGAAAGACTACGTCAGCTTCGAGTTGTAATGATTTCATGTAGAGATTAAGCAAGTGAATGCATGTGAAGTAAAGTGAATTCATGACTGGCAGAAAAATGTAATGTATGTGATAAGAGAAGGCTGTTCTGTTGTAGCAGCAGAATCAGTTATGGATCCATATGAAAGGAAGGCTAGAGTGAGATAGACCTGATTTTGAGAAAATGTAGAGAGTAGTTCAGAGACATATATCTGAAAAGCAAGTCTGTCAGAAGAAAACCCAAAAATAACTTCATTCCTAGAAAAAAAACCCGTGTTGATTAAATACAACATCACAAAAGAATGCTGTAAAAAGAAGTGAAGTCAGAACCTTGCAGAGTCTGTACGTTCAGAGATGAGTGACTCTGACACATTAAGTGCAGAGATAAAGCTAGAGTGGCCCTGCTAACATTTTACAGGATATAAGAAATAACTTCAGAGGAGCAATCCGTTTAGATATCAGACTTCACAGACTGCTGTCATTGCTCAACTCCATCCCTACAAGGAGTTACTCATTTTAAATAGGTGCTCTATCAGCTTTACCACAAGACCAGCTTTGGGAATAGAAACATTTCACTGGATCTCTTCCTCTTGTATCTAAGCATAGCAACAGACCCTCAGTCTCAGACGCTGTTGCAGTGCTAATCAGCAGAGTTCCATCCAGAAACTACCTACAAATTCTTGCCTCCAAGCATTTTTCTCTCTAAGACGTGTATAATTTAAGCAGGGGAGGAATAAAAAAAAGATCTGTGATATTTTCTGTAAGCTGATCCACCTCCAGTGAGAGCAAACCTCCCCAACAGATGCTGAGTTCACTGGAGTCGTGTTTGGGGTGCTTCTTCATGAAATGCTGAAACGCTGTGAGTGAAAACGATAACTAAGAGACATGAAAACAAGCAGCTGAATGTTTTTACAGTGCTCAGTGCAGAAGGCAGCATTTGAACAACAAGCCAACAAAACAACTTGAGAATCTTCAAGTGATGCAACCCTCCCGTCTTATCCTTTCCTATTTTTTCTACTACTCTCTGAGTGCCTCTGTGAAGAATTAATTACAGAGGTCAATTCATTGTTTACACCAAGGTGACCAAAAATTTACTTTTTAGTCACATAGAGCAGTGACTTGTCACTCCTCTCAGTCCTAGACAATTATTTATGGGACTAAAATATTTTTCCTTCATTTGTATTTATTCAAAATCATGTCTGATTGTGATCAGCCTAAGTAATTTCTTGCTTGAGATGCAACATCCACTGAAAACAAAAGGAAGTTCTTTTTACCAGCAAGCTTGCTTCTTCAGCAGTTTTTGAAAACCTGAACGGAAAATTGGATGATCAAACTACTTACCTAAGTTTTTCTTAGAAGAAAAAGAGTGGTGGAAGGTATTAGGTGATAGTTTCTGGAAACATTATTTTCTAGCTTTCAGGCATACCAAGTGCAGCTCTTTCTGAATCCTCCCAAAGCTTCACCTCTCCTCAAAACCAGAAGTTGACATTTTTTTACTCTCCTGAAACACAAGTAAGCTCATATGGGAGCAAAATCAGCAGAAATACACTTTGACAAACAAAGCCCAAGTGCTCTTTGAGAAAGGTTGCACTGAAGCCACTGTCCTGTTAGAGCTGCAGGTAGTAGACTACAGCCACTCATTTCATGGGGAAGTAATCTAAATTCTTCCTGATCTCATCCTATATCAGCATAAAAGAACATTTTTTAAAAATAAATTTGCAGCTACATTCTCTTAATATCATTGTTTTCCTTTTGCTCGATACATGTGAGTTCAGTGAGGGCCCGATCTTGGACAATTCAAGGAGATGAGAACATCCCTATTAATGTCAAAAAAAGCAAGATAAATT